ACGAAAGCTTATGCTCTAATAAATTTGTTAGTCTCTAAGGTGCCACAAGTCCTCCTGTTCTTCTTTTTGCGGATACAGACTAACACGGCTGCTACTCTGAAACTCTTCTACATAATAGCGTTTAAAACCTTCACTTGAGAACTCTTCAGTTGCATCCGAAGAAGTGGGCTGTAGTCCACGAAAGCTTATGCTCTAATAAATTTGTTAGTCTCTAAGGTGCCACAAGTCCTCCTGTTCTTCTTATTATGTAGAAGAGGGGATTAAAGTGGCTTATGATTGCAAGGTTCCCACAATTCCTACTCTTTTATACCTATTTGTGTAATACTAGTTGAATTCAAGACAATTGCTCTAGGTGCTGCAAGGAAAATATTACTCTAAGAGCACAGAACCATAGTGCTCATTTTATATCAGATTATGCTAAAATAAAAAGTTCTCCCTAAATATGTAAGAGATTTCTTCCCATTTGAAAGATTATGTGGAAACCCATCCAATCTACACAACAAATTTAATTAAAGCCTTTAAACCAATTTTGTTTTAAGGGATGAGGTAGCTGGAAGTGATCTGTAATTACTAATCCAAAACAGTGTGAATTTCATGAAAGAGAAACCATAAATTAGGGACAAAACAGTAAAATTTCCCTATTAGTATATTAGAGAATGCACAGTAATTATGTGGTTTACTGATATTGCTGAAGTTCATCCTGAGTGGCTTGAAATACTCTGATGCTTCTTTTCTGACTAAGCAAGTATGTTAGTTTAGAGTGTATACATTACATTACCTGTTGCGAAAGTACAATTAAGAGAGAAAAAGATTCAATCTCAATCTCAGAGAATTCTAAAAATAGAAGACAGAACAGAATAAGAAAACTGTTACCTCATCCTTTCTGCCAATGGAGATTTCATAAGTATGTAGCAGCTCTCTCAGGTTCTCCATCTGATTGTTCAGCTGTCTCACATGTGCAGCATATTTCTCTTTCTCTTGTCTCATTTCCAGCTTGTGATGTTCAATAAAAGTCATTTTCCATTTTCTGAGTTCAGTCAGAACATTTGTCTGAAAAGGGTAGCACTAATGAAACTAGGAAAATTATCCTCTCCAAGTCTTTTAATCCCAGAATGTATGGCAGCTAATCAGACATCAAAATTTACACTGAACCTTGCATGTACAACTTTGTCCAGTTACCAGACACACTGAGACATCTAATTATGATAACTTAAATACATTTCATTATTAGACTGCTAATAAAAGCATGTAAGAGAGGAGGAGGAGAATCAAACCATGATCAATCTACTAAGAATATTTCATTTTGGTGCCACAACCAGTGAGACTTGGAAAAGTACCTGTACCATTTTAATCTAGCCAGTGGAGCCAACAAGGGAGAGGAGAGGAGCAAAGCCTGGGGGTTGGGTAACTGAGCACCACTAAGAAGAAGCCACTGCTACAGGGCATCCAGCTCCACTCGGAGCCAAACTCAAAGGAGTCCAGCAGAGCCCACTGATGTTACAAATTCCACTGAAAAGGAGCCGCTCCTGAGAAATCCAACAGAACATGAATGTGTAGATGTTCAAAATATGACCCATTCTACTGTGACTGGAGTCTCATTCTGGTGTCAAGTGGGAGGAGCTTGCTTGCAGCAACTATTGCTCCACCAATTTCCATCGGATCTGTTTTTAATAGGCAGTTTTGATCCTGCTTCTGCAAATTCACAGAGCTTGAAATTTAAGGAGCTTTCTGGGACCACAGATACAGGCACACTTATAGCCGCCACTGCATGAACAGAACTGATTCTTGGAGTATTTAGTGTTCACTAGTCAAAGGCAAGCAGATTATTAGTCCATCTCTGTGCCAGTCCAGTAGGTTTTCAACTGTTTAGCTATCAAGCAACATAAGTTACATCAATTTCCCAATGTAGTTAGATTGGTAGAAGCACAGGAGAAAATACAATGTCACAATAGTCATCTGCTCAATATAAGGATATTACATTTAGCACAAATTTAATACCTTAAGACTTCCACTCCAGAGATCAAGTATGCTTTCTATCTGGGTCACTTTTTCATCTGAAACACTTAACTCAGTCACTATAGTCTCATCAATCTCTCTTGGACCAGATGAGGACCCTTGTGAAGATGTCTCTCCCGAACGAACAGGGCAAAGTCCTTCCATGTCTGCCTGAGAAGTTCCCTTTACTGGTGTAAAAACTAAAAATAAAACAAAAAGGTTAAAAGTTGATTCTTTGAAGGGTTTAGCTGTTGTATATTCAGGAGGCAAGTCAGAAGTTGGGTATACAAAAGGCCTGTGTCACCAGAAGTCTTCCTTCTCTGTGCACGTAAACCCAAAAGTATGCCTCTAAGTATGCCTCTAAGGGTATTTCCACACTGCATCTGGGAGCATGCTTCCCAGCACAGGCAAACAGACATACTAACCCTGCTCAGACCAGTGCCGAAAATAGCAGCGTAGCAGGGGGCAGCAAAAATGGTAGCTTTGGTCAAGCCCCCCCGGAGTACACAGTCTTGCTCGGACATCCTAGGTACGTGCTCAGACACCAAGCTAACCCCTTGCTACACTGCTACTTTTAGCATGCTAGGTCCACTCGAGCCGGGAAGCACACTCCCAGCTGCAGTGTAGACATACCTAAGGGATGAACATCTGTAAAACAGCAGTTGGCTGATAAGTTTTACTCTCAGAAAGAATGAACTATGCTTCCCACGTCAAAGTATTGTTCCCTTTAAAACCAGAAACTTTCAAGGTCATTTGTGCCAAAACATAGCACTGTTTATGGACCAAGTGAATTTTGTGTATAGCTAGGTCCATGTTGAGAAACTAGCTTTACAAGGAAGCAGAAAGCGTCCCTCTACTTGAAAGACTTCTTTCAGGAAATCATGTCAAGTGGAGTCCATTTAAACGTTACCCTCTCACCATTTTCTGAATTGTTTCCCCAGGTTTCATAATACAGCAGAACCCCATTTATGCGATCTAATTGGGACCAGGGCCAGATGGGATAATATATACAATCGGGATAAACCAGAGAATGGGAAAGCACAATGCTGCAGCGCCATAGGAGACACACACACCCCCCCTTCTGGACCTGTGTGCACTGGTTTTCTGTGTAGAGCTGGATAATGAGGGTCAGATAAATGGGGTTCTAATGTATCTACATTAGACCGTAAGCTCCTCAGGGTGGGGAGTATGTCTTGTATGTTTGCAATGTACAGTGTACCTTTATTTATACATTCAGGTATGTATATGTCCCTCCTCACCCCGGTATCACCATAAACAGCACTCCATAAATAAATGAAATATTACACTGGATTCTCTGTGCCTCAATTCCCCAGCTGTAAATGGAAGAAATAATGCTACCTTTCCGACACCCTTTGACTTGATCGTCTATTATGATTTTTAACTCTTTGGGGCAGGCAGTATCTTACTATGTGTTTGTACCGTGCCTTAACACAATAGGTCCTAACTGAGAGTTGGGGCTACTAGGTGCCACTGCAATACAGATAAATACATGCCAAGAAACTATTGGAGACAGACTGAAGATGAAGTAGGACTGGACTTTACTTAATTCAGGAAAGGCAAATATGCTTATACACAAAGAACAACTAAAATATGCAACAAAGTCCCCCAAGTTGACAATATGAAGATGAACAATATTTTTTAAGAGCAATTGGAAAGCATCTCCATTGGAAAATTTCTGCTGTTAGTGTTATATTTAGAACTGTGATGGGGGAGATCCCCACACTAGCCCTGCAAGAATAGAATAGGGCCAGGTGGGCCCAATCAGCTAATTGACTGCAAAGAGGGGAGCTTTAGACTGGAGGCAGTTAATTAGAGAGATGCTCACCTGTGCAGGATCAGGGAAGGCCTATAAAGACAGGTAGCAGGCTACAGACGGGGCTGCTAAGGAAATCAGGCAACAGTCACTCCCTGGGGAGGGGAGGAGGGAAGAGATGGGGAACCAGAGTGTAGGAATCAGTCCAGGGAAGGAGCAGTGAGGGCAGAAAGAGGAAGCCCAGAACCACTGAGCTGAGGGTCCCTGGATTGGAACCCGGAGAAGAGGGCAGGCCTGGGTTTCCCTACTGGACACTGCATAGCATAGACCTGAGGCAGTGAATGGGAAAACTGCCTAGAACTGCTGATGGACTATACCCTGGAGGGGGAATGCTGAGGTACCTAGCTGGAGGGTTAAGTCACAAAGGAGACACTGAGGATCCTGGAACAAAAGAGGAGCTGCAGACCAGAGGGTGTCTACCTCAAGTGCTAATCCCCAGAGTGACCAAGGGGAGGCATCAGTGTAGCAACGGTAGAGCACCGACAAGAACAAATCCTAAATTTTTTAAAAGGTATTAAAAAGCAGCCCTGGATAGAACATCTCTTTTCTTGTACACAGGGAAAAGAGAAGTCTCACACATTTGTGTTTTATTTTAGTATTCAACCTTTCTGAGAATGTGTGTGTGTGTGTGTGTGTGTGTGTGTGTGTGTGTGTGTGTGTATATAGAGAAAATTGCAAGATAATGTTGATTTTTGAAACTTAACATATAAAGGACGTTGTCATGTAATTTAAAAGTTGAGATGTTATAATTACAATCTGGCTGGGGAATATCATTTGGATTCAAAATATTTAGTGTACTGGAAGAGTTTTTGCTAACTCTGAAAGGACCTATAGAAAGTCAGCACGGACAAGTAAAAGTTAACGTACACTGAGCAGAAATATTTCATGGGGAGGAGAACACACAGTCACTATTATCAATGTAATGATCCATTTAAGATGCAACTGCAGTGGGGCGGGGGAGCAAATAAGACAGCCAGGCTCTATTAAGGGAATAGAAAAAAATTACAGCAGAACCTCGGAGTTACGAACACCAGAGTTACAAACTAACCAGTCAACCACATACCTCATTTGGAACCAGAAGTATGCAATCAGGCAGCAACAGAGACAGAAAAAAACCCCAAAAAAACAAGTACAGTACTGTTAAATGTAAACTACTAAAAGGGAAGCAAGCATTTTAATTCTGCACAGTAATGTTTCAAAGCTGTATTAAGTCAATGTTCAGTTGTAAACTTTTGAAGAACAACCATAACATTTTGTTCAGAGTTATGAACATTTCAGAGTTACGAACATCTGCCATTCCTAAGGTGTTTGTAATTGAAGTTCTACTGTATATAATTAATATTAGCCTTGAATTCTGTGTTCATTTGAACAGCAACAGCATCTGATAGACTGAGCATACAGAGCCAGAAAATGTGTGTTCCAGTCTACCCAAGGCAAGTTGGCTAGCAGTCTTTTGGGACTAGATTGTGATTCTACATTATGGCCGTTCAGGGAAATAAGTTGGGGCACTGAGAGTGAGTGGGGTCAGCAAAAATGCCTTCCCTGGACTGATATTTCCTTTCAAGCAGGCGGGCAGAGCTGACATTATTTCCCTCCCAACCTCCAAGCCAGAAGGGCCGCCAGGAAGGAATTGTGACTCAAGAGTCAGTCACAATTCCTTCCCAGGCTCCTCTTGAGATGGCACTATATACCACCTTCAGCCTAAAAAAAAAAAAAATCTAACTGTTAGTCTCTCTGAACCAAATTCCAATTTCACTTACACAAAAGTGCATGTCTAACTTGTTGTAGTCCACAGACTCACTCCCAATTTACGTGTGTGTAAATGGAGGTCAGGATCTGGCTCAGTCACTGTATTGTCATGTGTTAAAATGGGGATAATATTACTTACCTACCTAATGGGGCTGGTTTTTGAGTATTATTTTCTCTGTACAAGACTCTGAAAAACGTAACATGCTAAATATTAGTATTAGTGTTGGTTACCTACTCTCAGTTATGCAGACTCAAATAGGTAAAATCTGGAAAAAAACTACGATAAAAAGAGGTATGACTGACTCCCACCCTCATACAAGGAGAGATTTAAAATATTTGAAACTTAAGATGCCAAAGTTTTGGCAGAAATTCAGTATATAAAACAAATGGGATAAAGAACAATCTCTGGCACTCTTTCTAAAACAAAAACAGCCAAAGAAGTCAGTATGCAACAAAAGTAAGTAGTGTGTGTGTGTGTGTGTGTGTGTGTGCGCGTGTGTGTGTGTGTGTGGGGTGGGGGGGGGGAAGGTACCTTGATACTGAATTTATTGCCAGCAATGAGTTCAAACAAAGGTAAATAATTTAGTAAAAATCAATAAAAGAAAAAACATTTAAACTCAGATTAGCATCTGAAATTAAGAATTAAAAAGCCTCTCACACTCCAAGGCATAAACTAAATCACCAAGTTGGTTTAGGGAGATGTACATATTCCATTATATGTTTTTGCATAGCTTGCCAGATGCCTTTTATTCTGTTTTCACATTACTCTGAAGCATTTCATATAGGTAATGGTCAGAGACAGGATATTAGGCTAGATGGACAACTGGTGTATTCCTACATTTTAGTAGTATTATAGGTTCTTAGCTTTGATTTTTATTTAATCGTCACTGCAAACAACCTGTCCCCATTTACCTTCCTTTTCACTATGCTGTCGTCCTCCTATTCCACCTTTCCCAAGACAATGATTACCCAATACTACTTTTGCACACACCTTTGCTTTTGCTATGCTATGCCATGCCAGGCACATTAGGCCTTGGCTACACTTACCCGCTAGTTCGGCGGCTGGCAATCGAACTTCTGGGTTCGACTTATCGCGTCTAGTCTGAACGCGATAAGTCGAACCCGGACGTGCTCGCCGTCGACTGCGGTACTCCAGCTCGGCAAGAGGAGTACCGCGGAGTCAACGGGGGAGCTTCTGATAGAGCGGCATAGAAGTCAAAATCAGATACAAAACTGGAAAGGCAAAAGTAACTGGAAGCATTTAAGATATTTTTTATACGAATATATAGTATCCTCATCACTGTAAGGGGTAGAGTAAACAGATATGCCTTGATTAGTTAATGACTTAATTTCTCCTGGCCCTCAACGTTAGGAAATCTGTCCACCTCTGTTTATCCCAAAATAGGATCCACCTAGGAAGTAAAGGCATTAAAAACAAAAACAAAATGTTCATATCATGTAAGACACTTGGTCTACGGACCAAAGATCAGCCAAGGTTGAGAGTTCCATTCCTCAATAATAGAAACAAAAATGGCTAAATGAGTATTGTTAATAACCAAGGCAAGAATCTCTCAATTTGCATATGGATAAAACCTCTTCTAGCTAGGTTGGGAAGAA